AAAACGTTTTACTAACGTCGAATCAAACAATGACATATCCAGACACCATTAACAATTTTAAACCGTAACCAAAGTACGCATTCAAAGCTTATATGTTGCACACCTATGTTTAGGGTTACTCAAAATAAATAATTTTGACGTATAATATTTAGTTAGCAATTTTGGTTACAAGTGTATATATCCACACACTGAAATAAAAATAATAATTCAATTTGTATCAATGGCCAATTTGTTGAAGGAGATCTGAAACTGAACGTTTGAATATTTATGATTATTTTACGCTCTGGAATGTCTAAAAAAGTTACGTTGGAGAAACACCTTATCGATCAATATGTAATACATATATTAGTTTCTTCTAGCGTTATATAAACAGTACTAACATACATTTCTTGGCGAAGCAGAATAGATTATCATGAGTAATGTAAATGCCGTTACAGTTCGATAATAAAAGTTACTATAAATACAGTTAAAGCCTGCAGACTTGAAAATTCTTGAAATACCTAAGGTAGATTGATGAAAGGCAAGAAAATGGATACTTACTGAATTAGATATTTTATAATAAAAACAATATGAAAACTTTCTCTAAACGTTGCTAAAATGTCAAAATATTTCCAGTAGTCACGTGTATGTCATCAAAAATATAAGCAAATATTACTGAATTAAAAGGAAAGACAGAAAGAGATTCAGATTTAATAACTTTAAGAAGCTGCAACAAATGTAAAATTCATTATCGTGAATTTTACCGTCGCTCATTAACTTTCAAAGCTTTCAGTTAGTAAACAAACGAAGGTCAATTATTTAATGAACAATCGCGTGCGATCCACTCGCTCGTGTGAAATTGAAATTATAATTGGGCACAATGCTTGAGCGGAGAAAAGTACAAACGGTTCTTAACAGTCCTGTATCGTGCGAATTAAAAATTAAATAGTTCCCATTGTCTTGGAACGTTCAAAGAAGTATTCCGAAAATCGGAATTTATAATAGAGAGCGTTCTATCGGTGGATGGGCTTTCGAAATCCGCGATAAGCCGTATTATTTTCAATTATTACAAGAGGAAATGTGGCGCATTAATTATCGAAGCTGAAACGACGTGCGTTATATTACTTCAATTTTCCGTAATGCCGGTTATGCTACTCGATGACGATGTCTTCCTCAATTATTCTCGTGCTCATTACTCGTGATTGGACCCGCGTAATACCGACTTGAGTAAAAGTGAGAACACGGGTGAATCTTGAACGTCAGAGAAGTGGTTGCAGCTTGCAACGTATCGCAATCAATTTCATCCCAACACAATTGTGTACAAATGTAATTTCAAGTTTTACAAATCAAATACTTCAATTTTTGAAACTTTAGTTTTAATCGTACCTAAAGTAAAAGTTGAAATATATAATTAATCATTGAAAAGATATAAATTTATATAAATTATGTAACATAACACATGATGCATCAGACACTTTTGTGTTTATTTAATTATATCTTTTTTTACATCTGAAGATTACTGTATACTTGGTCGAAGATGCTCGTGTATGCAATATAATTTAAAGTCAATGAATATATGAATACTTCTTTCAATGTTTAAATATTCATTACTATATTATACGCTCTAGAAAGTTTAATCAAATTACGTACATGTAAATTCCTTGTCGATTAATATCTAACACAGCAATATTATTCTTTTATGAAATTCTTGTTTTTAAAAGATCCTCACTTGTCAATGGAAATAAGAACATCGAAGATTTCATACTCCAGGTCAATCTAAACAGATTCGATTTCAAAGAAATTGACATTTCATATTTATATCTTTTTTTATATATGTAATAACTTCATTTGGTATAATAAATAAAATATGCAAGCTTAAGTACTTGAAAGCATGATGTATGTAGTGGAGAAAGCAAAGTGAAAGGGCGAGGTTCAACGAATTGCTGTTTTGCAATCTAACTAATTATTACAACTTAACAATCGAATTGAAATTCTGCACGAACATCCACTATGAATACAGAATTTCAGAGTTGAAAGACCCGAGTCAAATTATACCTTCCAACACGTAACAATTAATTTTTCAATGGGCGTTCTCGATAGGAGAGATTTTTACTCCGTTGAAATTATAAATATGCTTAGGAAATACCTGTTGTACGAAACATACCAATTAATTCCAGTCCTTCCAGAAATTCGAACGAGCTCCAAAAACAGTTGTCGAAACGTTGAATCCTTCCTAAAACTCAGAAATGAATATATCTCTAAGAACAATCGAACAAAATTTAATAAAATTTTATATAAAAACCTATTCTTTTCCGAATAATGCAAAATATCATATGTAGATCATAGGCTAATGGCCGTAGAGTAACGGTACGATAGCTACCAAAATTAATCTCAACTATACACATTATTCCAAACAAGTTAAAACAACTTCGGCATGAATTTCCAACAAACCGGTGCGCGGATCGATCGAAACGATACGGAATAGCAACATCCACACCAGTGTTCACAAAAACAATCTCCTCTTCCGCGGGCGTTGCAGGCTTTTTTCTCGAAAAATCAAAGGACGATGCAATCCGTGACGAAACTATTGCCCGATGTCGATCAGTCTGCTTCGCGTCAGACTCGTCTGAACGCGGTTCGAACGGTTTTACGGGCACAATCGGTTTTTACCATCGACAGCGTTGGCCGCTTCTGCAACTCGCCACGGTGGCTAGTTAGAGAATCGCTTCCCGTTCGCCGTGGCCGCAGCCTATATCCAGCTAGCTCCACGTAGGCGTACGCGTATTTAGCGCGTAATTTATATAAGAAGAGAGGCACGCTTGGTTCCACCCCAAAGCACTTCGATCCACTGGCGCCAGCACCTCTTCTTTCGCGTTTTCCATGGAAAGCGGGTGAAACGTTCGCTCGGAACGTCTTCGTTTCGCGACGCTCCGGCCAGCCCCGTGCGCCTCCCTCCGCCCCTCCCACGCGTTGGATCATCGGGAAACGTTCGCGGAAAGGAAAGGAAAAAGAAAGCCCCAAGGGCCAATTTGATAGCATCGTGCAGCCGCGGCCAATTAGCCGTTGCCATAATTAAAAAACGGGGTACGCCACTGCGAGCATGCAGCAATTGTTGCGGAGAGGAGACGTATAACTTCCAGTGTTGCATCGAACATCCTCGCGTCCGGATCGCGGAACTCGATTCCTCCACGTCGATGGAAACGAACAGCCTTTTTCTGATACGTGGCCACCCCGGTGGCCGCTTTTCGTCGCTCTTGTAATTCCTCGACGCGTCTTCCTCGTCGTACGAGCAAAGTCCGTCCGAATTTCCGACTGACCCGGTTTTCGCGATCGGTTTTTCGAAGAAGTGGCACGGAATCGTGAAACCCCGACCGATCGAAAGCAGAATTTTTCGCGAGGGTCTCGCTCGTTCCCGTACGCGTCGAAGGAATATTTTGTGGTGATTATTGTTGAGCATGCGAGGACTTGTTTGTGTGTGAAACTAGCTTGTGAAACAAGTCGAAGGACAGCGAGATCGGGAGAAGCAACGACGCGGAGAAAGAGAGGACTGTCGCGGAGGAGTCGAACGCGCGAACAGAAAACACCCGAGGCTACCGAAGAATGCAAACTCTCGACGGGACATATTCTGCGACCGAGTCTAAGGAGATCCAGGTTACATCGAAAAGAAAAAGTTGAAATCCAAAAAGGATCCCGGGGATTCGACGATCGAACGCCGCGATCGTATTCACGAAACGTCTCATCGAAAGACCGTTAACGAATTCAACGCGAGCAGCACGGATTTTTCGAGCCTGGTGACCCAATGTTCCCGATAGTAAACCGTCTCGATGACCTCCTAACTCCTTTAAGCGCAATTTAAAATGCGCGACAGTATTGTGCCGCGCGATTGTCTCAAATCTTGACCGATCGTGATCGGGTTCTCAAGCGGGTCTCCTGTTGTTCGATAATTGCTGGACGTTTAAGCGGAGCATGTACCTCCGGAGATTGATGGCCCTTCGCGGCTGACGTTTCGTCCTTAGCCAGCCAACTGCAGAAACGTTTGCCAATTTTAGAAGATAGTCTTAACGATTAATGATCGCTCGAAGGAGTGTCCGTTCCAAGAAAAGACTGGTGCCACGGTGACGTCGCTGACACGGAATGAAAGCAGAGGTCGCTGACACGTGGATTCGTCTGGAAGAGACCTTTTCTCATCTTTATTCACGATTTTACGAGCCGGGTCGTGTTTGCGCGAGCTTTCTGCAAATAGAAAGATCATCGACGGCCGAACGGAAGGTGTCTTCTGCGCGTTAACCTTGAACCCCCAAGTACTTTGCAGTCCGCGACGACGCGGAGAGACGAAACGCGCGGAATATTATTTAACATTGCCCAAAGCTCGATAGGAAGATGAAATTAATGAAAATTACGGGGAACGAATGCACGCTGTGCGATAAGAACCTGTTAAAAAAATGTCATCGACCGGTTACCTCCGATAACCCTCGATAACATTGGAACTTGAGACTCGGTTTCTGGTCGGACAGGAAACTGGTCTCTGGCAAAACTTGTACGCTACGAACCCGGTAACAATGTCAGGTTCACGCAAATTCCCAGTACTCGGTGCTAATTGGTGTTAAACGGGACAAGCGCAGGCTGAAAACGCTGCCAATTTTGTTGAATTACGTGCTACCGTGGTCTGTTTGTGATTTAATTGACGTTCCCGTTAGTGCGGTGCTTAAAACTTTTACACTACATTCCGTTGTGCCGGGGAATTTCTAAACGCGAGTTCGAACGTTCAACGATGGCGAGCGTTCTACGAAGGCGTGACGGAAAGTGGACGATCGAGCGACTCTCGGTGGGATTTTGACTTTCGTTTTTTAAAATGTGTCGTCGTTCTTAAGCGAAATCGATTTGTTGTATTTTCGATTCCAATTTTTTGAAAGCATCGCGATGTCTGAAATCGTGACCTGACGGGCACGAGATCTCCCCCAGCAGTGGTCGCAGGAACCGATAATGCGTATTAAAATCGAACGTTGACCGTTGCACGCAACATGGAGCCCGCGATAGCGTGTAGCAAGAAGCTCGAGCGCAGGTCTACGCGATCGTCGACCTCGAAGAATCAGTTTTCGTCACGAAACACGCGCTCGGAAGCTTTCTACGCCGCCGCGGAACCGTTATCCGTTCGACGCGCATTGCATAATTCCGCCGGCCCAGACCCAGATACAAATTCCGCTCCAAATTCCAGCGGAACGACGGAACGCTCTAAGAAGCTCCACGCTTCCGGTCGATCGAACCACCCGGACCCCAGGTTCCCGGTGGAGATTGGGCCGAGAACCGGCAGACAGCCCCGTCAGGAAGCTGTCTTTTACACGATCCCGCGAGACGTAGCGATATCTCGCAAGGAGATCCTCAGAAAGTACAGCAAAGAGAAGGAGAAGGAGGAGAGGGAGGTTGCCTCGAATTACGCCGACACGTTGCGTAATCGCTGGAAGGATCAACAAGAGAGGCCCAGAACTCTGCCTTCCATAGCCAGAAGATCGTACAGGGATCCGGAAAAAGTTCAGTCCTGTCAGGGAGTCAGGAAAGTCTCCAGGCAGGACATATTGCGCAGACGTGCGAGCGTAGACGGGCCGGTTGTAGCAACGCGTGGAAGGAGTCACGGGGACGCAAAGTTAGAAAGTTCAGAGGCGAAAGGTAGCACCTCTTCCAGTTTCCCGAGGAACGTCCCGAGGCCGAGGAGCACTAGGTGGGGCAGAGAGGATGAGAGAGAGTCCAAGTCGGCCTGTGACTTCGTGACAGTCACTACCAAGCTGCAGGACATCAACAGCGGCCTTGTGCCAAGACCGTCGACCTTGCCCAAGATTGTTCACGCATCGAGGACATCGCGGTTGACGGAGGATTGGTCTGGTCCTAGATCAGCCAAGGATGCGGTGAAAAAGGAACCGCCTGTCTACGGAAGGATACGCAGACGGAAGACTTCGTTGCCAGCCAACACAGGCATCATCAGGGGATCCACGTTGTCTTTGAGCGCCCTGTCCAGGTACTCGAAGTCAGGTCACTCGCATGTCAGGGAAAGGGCCGTGGACGTGGAGTTCAAACCGACCACGAGACACCTTCGCGATCCTGTTCCCGACACGGCGTATCGTTCGGCCACTTTGCCTCTCGTTGACATGAGAACCAACCCCCAACGGAACGCGATTTACGCCAAAGTGCCTCAGAGAGCGACGAAGAGCGCCCAGAGCCACCACGAGAAGACTGACTCGAAAGATGGCGGGCTCGAGGCTAACGTGGATACTGGTCGCCGGAGTATGTCGCGCAGGAGGATCATCGACAACATGAAGGACACGAACGTCTACGAGGACCAGAACAGTTCGAGGACGGAAGACTCTGCTGACATTCCGTCAGAATATCAGTCAGAAAGTCAGTCGTATCAGAGCAAAGACTTCGATGTTCACGGCAGCAACAGTTTGAGCGAGGAAACGAACGGGCTTTCCCGTGTGACTGGATGCAACACGCTGGACAACCGATCGAACAACAACTGGGCGAAATCCATGGAGTCGACGAAGTACAGATCGAAGTCGCAAAGCAGGCTGGTCGAAAACTTTCGCCCGTCTCATCGGGAGATCGGCACGGCGATCAGGCTGGCGACCACTCTTCCTAGTTATGTGAAAAGTTCGAGAAAGTGTTCGATCGAGAAGCCGCCAGGGACCGACGGTCGCAGAAAACTGCCCAAGGAAACTGGAATCTCGACGAAACAGAGCAAGGAGAGATCGAACTACGTGAAGAAGTCCGCGACGAGAAACGTCAGAGCTTACAACGACGCTAACGGCCGATCGGATTCGCCGGTGACGGCATCCTCGATTTTTGGATTCTGCACGGGGAAGAGAAAACCTTCGACCAACGGCCCGACGAAGGTTGAAACTGCCCCGTCCTATCCATCATGGAACGTGAAAACGGTTAGCATTGATTTAATGTGGCTCGAATGAAAAAAGTCGTGGCAGTCTTTGATCAGTGATTAATCATTTCGGTGCTGCGGGCGCTTTATAAGCGTTCGGTCGATCGGTGCATTTGTGGACGGTGAACGTATGTCGGTGTTTGGCGTATATGCTTGATAAATGTGACCACGAGATTTCTATCCATCGCTAGGTCTTACGATTTTTAAGCAAAAAGGATTAATTATAGTTGCCTCTTTGAGTTTCTTCGAGAGTTGAACTCTGTGGCTAGTGTTTCTATTACATTTCCGTAATGGGTTCTTAGAATAAACAATCTTTTGTGTAGACATTATAAATAATAGTAATCCAGAATTCTGTTAAAGAGAAATCTCATATTAGATTTGAATATAAAATAATAATCAGAATATGTGATTCTCTATTCAATTATAAACAGAAGTCTGAGACGCTGATATCTCTCTCTGTATACCTTTCCAACAGAAGCAAAGTAACAGTGGAAATTAATGGCCTACGATTCGCTAGCTAGAAACTGCAATCCAACCCTTTGTTTTTCAGGGTGAATTGGTGTGGTTCGACCCTGGTGTCGGCCACGTGTTACCGGGTGAAGTTTTGGAGTACCACAGAGCCGCCAACGTCCTCTCCGTCCAAGCAGTGATCGCTGGCAAGGTACGAAAATGAATTTATTCTTTCCTGCGTGAAGCTGGAGACCACTCTCCAATCCAGACGACGAGTAGAAAGGGGATAACTCCCAGAGTGTATATTATTCGCCATTCAAACGATCGAACGCATGAGTTACGCAAGTTCAGTGATGCGTCTTCGCGTATGAAAGTTAAACTTGTTTTTTTGCATCGACGTTCGACGTCGAAACGTTTCTTTTCCGACTGTATTCGAATCGGGTATTTACCGTTCCTCCTCATAGACAGGGCAACAATGAAACTACACAGCGTGTTATTATCTCGAAGGGATAGAAGAACAGAATAGAAGTGTGTTAGGCTATGTGCTAGTCAACAATACGGGTCCACTTCGAGGCCAACGAACAACCGGTTATTCTGCATTTCCTTAAGACGACGCACGATTCAGGCGATCGGTCGACGTTCTATGTTCCATTGATTTTTTGTTGAAACAATTTGACAGAAACGCAATAGGAAGGAATTGTTGGATTTATTTCATTTAATTGCGGAACACTGATGCCTTGCGTCATTGGTCTGTAATTCTGTTTCGCGTTTCAAATACTTTAAGAATGAATGTACATTTTTTTTCAAGTTGCATAATGTTATGGCTGTTAATAAATTGTTTGAGCTTCGATTTACGTCTTGCTATTCATCCATTAACATTTTCTTCAATTCTTCATAATATTCGGGGCTGAACACCCTGTATATGTTTGTACAACCCAGTGTTATCAAACACTGTGCAATTTTAACGTTCAGAAAACACGGTATTTTCCTAAGCCTCCTTTCTTTTTCGCAAAAGGAAGAAATGAGTTGTCATTCTGGAAAAAGTGGTATGTTCATACCATAAGAGATTAGTTAAAGACTTCGCAGTATTCACATGCTCGCCGTATAGCTTTCAGACTGAGATTCTTGTTTCTTTCTAACTATTCAAACTGTTCAATTTGGGCTTGACTTTTCAAGAAATTAATGTCATCGCCACAACTAAAAACAGAATAGCACTTTGTAAAAATGTATTTATTTTTGGTACGTGTAACCTCGTAATTTATTCGCTTTCCTAGACCTCCCATAGACTTCCTAAACGATTTTCTGATTAATGACTTTAGAATCCGTCGTATTAAGAAAACGAAAGTGACAAACATTAATAAAGCGTGTTGTGCTCTCTATGACATTTCAAACTCGTGTGTTTATTACAACTTTCTAGTAATACGTCGATTAAATGACTATGGTTTCTTGATTTATTAATGTATGATTAGAAGTTTCTTTCTCGAGTACCAATCATGACCGTTTCCGGTCTTCTTAGCCACCGTAATTTCTGCGAATTTGCGAATCAACACATCGCTGGATGACGAGTGGTGAAATATTCGACTGGAAACATAGATTCCCGTCGTAGCCACCCGACGAAGTAGTCAAATGCATCGGGTCCCGGATAGAAAGTCTCGAATACCGCGCATACTTCGAGAAATACTTCCGCCAAAGCGGTTCGCGATACCTCGGAAAATTACTCCACCAGAGCGATGTGTTGATCCTGGCGTGAAAGTCCATATCGAAAAGGAGCAGCGTGCCCTGCTACTTGCAACACCTTCCTGCACTTTCAAGCTCCAAGGACATCGTATTGGCAACAATCGTGTCCACGAGTTTTTCGCGTTCCCTGTCTTTCACTTTCGTGAATTGTCGACTCTTCTTTTTACGCGTGCCCTCGCTAGGAATGACACGGCGTTATAATCCATACTTCGTCCAACAAAACACGACAGCAAACAAGAGCAAACACCCAAGCGATCAAACAAATCGAACGCCAATAATAGTCGACGAATAAAAAGACAAAACTATCAATCTGCTGTCTAAAATTAATTAGTTTGAGGTGTTCTTTCCTCTTATAAAATGTAGTATAAGCATTAGAAGACATAAAAGACGAAAGCTTTGTAAATAATACTTTCGTCCACGTTGAATAGATATCGTGTGTTACAATTGGATAAAACGTAATGTCTCGTGTAAAAGTATGTCGAAAGTGTAGAATGGACTTTATTTGTACGAAGATTCGATTAAGAGAAAGTCGAATTTGTAATTCTTTGCATTGCTAATGCACGATCCTAATGCAAACAACGTGTGCACGATTACAATATTCTCCCACTGTAATGGCTTTATGGTGATTAATAGTAAATAGTGCAGAACTTTATTGTATTCGTTACTTCTTGTTAATTTAATTTTTTCCCCCCAAGTGTTAGAGAAGGAGACTCAAATATTTACTATATGACGTTAAATATCCTTTTAAGGTTGTTACCTGTATTCGAAGTAAGTCGTAATAATAACATAACGTCAGTTGACGAGCCAAGCTATCAAGTTTGTTCACGGTTTTATTTGCACGACACACGCATAACTTCGTCGAACTGCTCGACTTTAGTATTTGATTACTTTTCTACGTAGCAGAGTCTTATGTTCGATTTCTCGAAGCATTGTCGCGCATTGGTAGCAGAGTCTAGTTCAACGGTGTCCTATTATAGATGACGATGCACACGGGCGTAGAAATAAGAAATTCACTTCTTAATTACATAACGGAATTGTTAAAAATATCAGACAGGTTTACGAATATTTATTTATCTGGGAATCAATCAAAAATTTGATGCCATAGATTTGTCTGAAAATGGAAAAATATTAGAATAATTGGAAAACATAACATAACAATTTATAAATATATAAATTAATGAATTTTTATGTTTATTCAATAACTCTCTATAACTAAAATTCTTAACATCTTCGTAATATATGCTACAAAACACTTTAAATTGGTTAAAGAATATTCATTCACAACAGAGAATTCCGTATCAAATTTCAAGACGAGTTATCTGACGTTAATCTGACACTGGTTGTAAGGAAATATCTCTAAAACAAGTCGCAGAATATTTCCAGTGGCATGACTAGTAAAACGTTCAATGAAAACTCCTAGTATCCTACTTACAGGACATCCAGGACAATATTTTTTTCTGGTATTAAAATTTATTTGAATATAACGTTTAAGGTATAAAATTGAATCTTAAAAGAAGTGGATATTCTATCGAGCAGTAATTTGCTTGTTTTTGTAATAACTAAGATTAAGTTGAAAAGCAGCCTTTGGCTATACCTCGTCATGATCGTGCAAATTATTATTATATAAAATATTTCTTGATATCAGCATTAATGACAGAGAACGTTTCAGCAGGTATTTTAATTATGAATAAAACACTACAGACAGCAGTTCTTATCATTCTACTGTATAATACGCTACTTTTCTTGTGAGAGCTCACGCGAACTACAGTTTGAAAAATCACTGGGTTAATATACGACCTCGAACAGCCTCGGAAGACTTTCGGTCGGCGTGCCAGTGAATGGACGCTCTTGATTAATTTTCATAACTTCACGAAGTACTGGAGGGTCCATTAAAACCTTCTAACGGGATCGGTTTCTGTTTACTACGGCGGATCGAGTCACCGACAACGTCGAGCCCCATTCCCCGCGATCGCGCAGCGGCGACGCCAATGGAATTGCAACTGCAAACTCAGGCAGCCCGGTATCCGGTTAAGTCTCACGTGAGTGGCTTTCGCGTCTTATGTGAATTCGCGCGAATCTTCCTTTTTTAACGCGCGCATTCTCTCCGCGGAGATCGGGCTGTAATCGTCTTGAAAATCGGGCAAAAACCATCTTGGAAAACAGAGACGCTGTTAAGGAAGGTCGAGCTTGATGTTAACGAGTCTTTTGGCTCAAGGAGTTTCTGACAAATCTAAAAATGGAAGAAGTTACTTCGAGCATCGAACGCGTTCGTCATGGTCAATTGACACGAGATATCTAAACGCTATTTATGAACTGGCCAGTCTCGTTAGACTGTCAAATGGATAACGCAGAAGTTTGTCATTACGACGTGCCGATAATCCGTGGAAAATCAACTCCGGTATCCTCGGATGTGTCTTTTCGTTGCGACACCACGGATTCATCAGCTTCGTCTAGCGTCAGGAGTCGCACGGAGGAGGTTCATCTTGATGGCGGGAGGGAATACGAGGAGCCAGACTCCGACAGATGTTCTGAAACGGCGGAACGGTGGTACGATGTTCCTGTTCAAAAGTCAAGGTTACGCTCGAAAGAAAGTGTCTTCGACTGCAAGGACGCGGAGGTGTGCTTGTGCGCGCCGCAGCAAGACTTCGTCGAGTGGCATTACAAAACGACGAAATCGGTGCTGAAGAGTTTAAACCCGTCCTTCTGCGATCCGAACTTCGACGACGAATCGGACGATTTTCTCAAAGAATTCACCGATGGCTCGATCGACTCCTCGTCGACGTTCTCGCGCGAGTTCCTTCGCGTGTATCCCAGGGAGGACGAGGAAAGCGACGCCAGCAGCTGCTCGAGGAGGCAGGGTACGATCAAAAGGACGACCAGAGTGACGACCTTGAGACCGAAGTTGAAGAAGTCACCGGAACCATTGACGTACCTCTGCGTTCACGTGATCAACGAAAATGTAATGCGGTGCGAGGCTACAACGTCGAATTCGAAATTGAAGTTTCTGTGATATTTTTTTATTATCGTGGGCGTGGTAATCGATAACAGTAATAGAAAAAGCATATTAAGATTAAAAGTATTTACTTTATTAATTCGAGGACATCGAATAAGCTACAGATTAAGATGTAATATTATCAGACGATATAAGTGAAGCAACAAAATATATGTATTTTATATTCCAGCCGCAAATCTTCACCCTCACTAATTTAAGCGGAGTGAAACCAAGGCAGGATCTTGGACACAATGGAATCGAAGACATGATTCAGTTAACGTGAGTTCGATTTCGATCATTTTAAATCACTTGTATCACGAAATTATTCGCATTGTCTAAATTACAGCGACCTCAACGAGGCGTCTTTATTATGGAACCTGAAGATTCGATACGACAAGGAATTAATATACGTACGTTTAATCGTTTCGCTCCTTATTAATATTAACGATTATTACCAGATTGAAATTAAACTGTCATTTTTAACAGACATACACGGGAAGCATCTTAGTGGCGGTAAATCCATACAAAATGTTCGACATTTATGGCTTGGACCAAGTGAAACTATACGAAGGACGAATACTCGGCACGCTGCCACCGTGAGTTACATTACTTTGTAATTAAAAAGCACTTTACGTATACATCAGAATTTCTCAAGTTCTCCTGTGGAATCTCTATTTAATTGCATCATCGTTAAATTATTTGTGACAGAAGTTTCCTGTCATTATTCTGTAAAATATTTTCATGCACCGTATAATATGTACTTTGTACTGGAAAAACGTTACGATGAAATTGCAGACACCTGTTTGCTGTCGGCTCGTCTGCGTACAGTCAAGTAACCGCTGCAAATAATGCAAGCGCGAATCAGGTGGTCGTCATTTCCGGTGAATCCGGTTCAGGAAAAACGGAATCCACGAAACTCGTAATGCAGTATCTAGCAGCGGTTAATCGAGCGCCGAACAATCTCGTCACCGAACAGATACTCGAGGCGACGCCATTGTTGGAAAGCTTCGGGAACGCAAAAACGCCTAGGAACGACAACAGCAGCCGATTCGGGAAATATTTGGAGGTCTACTTCAGAGAGTGAGTGCCCATTACCGTTACGAATCGCCGAGAAATCGGCAACAACCGTTATAAAATCGAAGGTAGCTTAGCAAAGAAACGATTGGAAGTGAAAATGAATGCTTCGGGAGATATTTGTGAAACTTAATTTCCATAACAATAAACGACACACCCAAATGTTGGGAAATTAAGGTTGCATAGTCTTTCAGACAACTTTCTTTCGACTAGCCAGAAATAAAATAAAATATATTCAATATCATGTTAAAACTCTCTTTCCAAAAGATAAATAGAAAGGATAATGAATTTATGTTATTTTTGATATTGTTTGAAAATGTTTCCACGTCTGAGCGATACCTAAAGAATAGTCGAGCCATTTGCCAACGATTAACATAAATTGCTTGCATTGCCATTACTTTTGAATAATTATTTTTAGTGGAGTCATTGTCGGAGGAAGAATAACCCAGTACCTCCTAGAAAAAAGTAGAATAGTCACACAAGCGTCCGAGGAAAGGAACTACCACGTGTTCTACGAGCTTTTGGCTGGTCTCGATCAGCAACTGAGAGACAAATACGGTCTATTGACGCCGGACAAGTACTTTTACTTGAACCAGGTGATACTCTAAGCGCCAGAATGACGAGGATGCCGTTTACGTTGCACGGATGATGTTACAACTTTAGCTTTCAGGGCGGTAACTGCGAGATCGATGGGAAAAGCGACACCCAGGACTTCAAAGCTCTGTTGTCCGCGATGCAAGTGTTGGGATTCACGTCCGAGGAGCAGGACACGATATTCAAGATCCTCGCCAGCGTGTTGCACCTGGGGAACGTGTACTTCCATCGGAAGCAAATGAGACACGGCCAAGAGGGCGTGGAAGTTGGCTCGGACGCGGAGATTCGTTGGGCAGCCCATCTTCTTCAAGTGAATTCCGACGGGATCATCAGAGCCCTCACCACTAAAACAACGGTCCGTGGCGGAAAAAGCGACGCAAGAATCGCCCCAATTGTTCCTCGATCGACGGGTAATTGAGTCTGTTTATAGGAGGCAAGAAACGAGAGAGTCTTCACTGCGTTAAACATCGATCAGGCTCTGGATGCCAGGGATGCCTTCGCCAAGGCTTTGTACAGTTCGTTGTTTTCCTGGCTGGTCGCTCGCGTTAATCACATCGTCTACAAAGGTACCAAACAGACCGCCGCGATCTCGATCCTCGATATATTCGGCTTTGAGAATTTCACGGAGAACAGCCTGGAACAGCTGTGCATCAATTACGCGAACGAGAACCTTCAGTTCTACTTCAACAAGCATATTTTTAAATTGGAGCAGCAGGAGTACGCCAAGGAAAAAATTGACTGGACGACTATCAATTATACCGTAAGTAGAAATTCGATTGTTCTTGGTGGAACAAGACGAAGAAATTGCAATAATTGACATTTGAGTCGACAGTCAGCGTATTAATTACTTTCATAGGACAATCTGCCAGTGATACACTTAATTGCAAAGAAACCTGTCGGGATTCTTCACCTGCTGGATGACGAGAGCAATTTTCCCAAAGCGACGGATCTCTCGTTTCTGGAAAAATGTCATTACAATCACGCGTTGAGCGAGCTGTACTCGAGGCCAAGAATGAATTCCGCCGAGTTCGCCATTAAACACTACGCTGGCCAAGTTTGGTACAACGTCGAAGGTTTCTTGGATAAAAACAGAGACACGTTGAGACCAGACGTGGTAGAGTTATTAATAAGCAGCAAAATATCTGTGAGTTCCGCTGTCTTCGATGAGAACAATGTTTCATTGGTCGTGGTCATTTACGGCGATCGTTAATTCCTTTACAGATGGTCAGTAAAATGTTCCAACACGTAAGGACGACTCACGAGGCTAACAAAACTATGAATAAACCGAACGGCAGATTCGTCACCATGAAACCGAGGACGCCAACCGTGTCTGCACGGTTTCATGACAGTCTGCAACAACTTCTCGACTCCATGTCTCAGTAAGTATCGCTCGAATCTATTCCAACAAATGTTGATTGTAATTACAAACAGCTTAGCCGCGAATTTGATACAATATTTGACTATAAATTTACTCTGTAGAATATTCTATCGAAATGTAAACAAAGAACTTAAGGTTCTGAATTCTGAACCCTGAAATTAACAATTCGAACAATTTAGCTGTAATGTTGCAATGTTCGTTGAACGTTTCAGATGCAATCCGTGGTTCGTGCGATGCATCAAGCCAAATACTGAGAAGGCGCCAATGAAATTTGACATGCCGTGCGTGTTGGAGCAGCTTCGATACACAGGGATGTTAGAAACGATTCGAATACGGAAGACGGGCTACCCGGTGCGTCTTCTTTTCGGACATTTCGTGGATCGCTACAGATACCTCGTTTCCACGCATCTGCCCAGGGGAGCGCCAAACAAGGAGCTTTGTCGCATAATTTTGGACAAAGCTGCGCCGAGAGAGGCACAGTCTCAGTATCAGCTGGGACTCACCAGAGTGTTCCTGCGGGAATCGTTGGAAAGGACTCTGGAGTACAATAGAGCACTGATCTTAGAAAGGGCAGCCATAACAGTTCAGAGGTACGAAGTACTATATTTCATTCTAGCTTGGATAAATTAGAAAAGATTCTCAGAGTAGAATACGTTCAATAAATCTTTTATTTTATAAATATAATCGCTTTCAATTGCATAATTGCAGGTATACCAGAGGATTCCTCGCGAGGAGGAGGTTCCTGAACATTTCGCGAAGCACGGTGCTCATCCAAGCCGTTTATCGTGGCTATCGAGAGAAGAAGAAGTTCAGAGCGCTGAAAAAGGCGACGCTGATGGCGCAGAAGATATACAGAGGGAAGAAACAACGCGAGAGGTTTAGCGTATTGAAGGAGGAGATGGCGAAGAGGGCGGAAATCGAGAGGGCCAGCAAGGAACGAGCGAAAGCGAAACAACAACGGGAGGAGCAGGAAAGAACTTCGAGAGCTGTGGCTGGTGTCAATCATCTGGAAATCCCTGCTGAACTCGCGTTCATCTACAGCAAACTTGACGGTACTTTATCCAAGTAAAATATGGTCGACTAAAATTCACGTTAAATTCGAGTTAATTTCGTTAAAATTACAGACTGGCAACCAACGCACACGGAGAGGAATCTCTTGAAAGTCGTCGGCCAAGTGATCCCCATGCATCACACGTACGGTCTGCCGCCTGACATCGATCAGCATCAGTTTTCAAAATTCACGAACATTTATTTCAAAAGTCACATCTTCGGTATGAAACGTGAACCGATAAAAACGCCGTTCCTGGCGAAAGCACGGGACCAAGATTACACAGATTCGTTGATGATCTTCAAGATGATCCTTCGTTTCATGAACGAGAACAACTTGAGCGGCAAGAGGGAACAGGCTCTGGGTGATTACATCGTGAACAAAGGGATCGTCAATGAGAAATTGCGTGACGAGATTCTGTGTCAATTGGCCAATCAAACGTGGAAGAACGAGAACGACGCGAACAAAGAAAGAGGCTGGTTGTTGTTGTCGAACTGTTTGTCAGCTTTTCAGCCTAGTGCAACTCTGTTCAAGTATCTGCTCAAGTACGTGTCCGATCACGCGTACGATGGTTACAAAGCTTACTGTCAGAGGAAGCTTCTGCAGGGCGAGAGAACGATATTCAGGATAATGAACAACAATCAACAAATCGTGCATCATGTGCCGAGGAATTACCCGCCTTGCGTATTGGAGTGGAGGGCGAACAGAAACCGTGTTAACATGGCGTTGAGCGTAGGATTCTATGACGGTGGGTGTCAAAACATTGTCAGATATTGATAAAAGTGGGGTGGAATACAGAATCATCCGAACAAATTGATCGAGCCAAGTTATTTTCAGGCGAGACGATTACCTGTGCGATGGATTCGTGGACAACGTGCGAGGAGTTGGCCAATCTAGCTGTTCACAATCACGGTGTCGACAATTCCGGCTGGACCATCACTTTATGGAATCAGCTGGACGGTCCAGACGCCATCGTAACGGAGACCAATGGTTTCGATTACGTTCTCGACCTGATTTCCGAAATGGAGCTAGCGCCAGCATTCCCAGCCGCTAAACACATGTTCCTCGAACAGCGAAAGAACAGTTTCCCTCCCATCAAGAAGAGAGAAGTGAGTACCATTAATTTTACAGGGCGCTTTGCTAAATATAATTTTGCACGGCTCGTTTCAGCACACACAGATAATTCGAGAATTGGAGCAAGAAATAGAGCCACCTGTTTTGAAGACGTTCCAACCTCTCGAACGAAAACCAGTACCGAAACCGGTGGACAAACCCGTTGAACCGGAAATTCAATCGCCCAGGCGACCCGCTGTTCCTCCGCCGCAACCGCCTGTGGCGAAGCCATTGGTAAATTATATCACGATTCAAGTATCCAACGATCGAAATTTTTGCTAATAAAATTTATGTTTCGCGATTGCCTCCATTCAGGTGAGAAAGCAATCTCACGAAGCTATGCTGGAGACGACAATAGAGACTGGTCTGTCGCGGAAATCAGCCCTGAACGACAGATACTTCGAGAACGAGAAGCAACGTAGTCGTAGCTTGGACAATTTGCTTCAACCGGAAGTGGTGCCGTCGCCGGTGAAATTGGCGAACCTCGGATTATCGTCGTCGAAGCTGAACGAACGCTATCACAGTCTCGAAAGGATTGGGGAGACGTCTGCCGTGAGCAACGTCGAATACATGACGAGGAACGAAATCGCGCAAGAGAGGAAGTACAGCAGGATAACGAGAACAACGGAACCCAACATCGAAGAAGAAGATTTGACGATCGACTTCGAGTATCCCGATATCCAATCCGTCAGTCAAACAGGGAGATCGGAAGACGATAAGAGCAGCTACATCAGATCGCAAACTAGGTTCATCAAGTCTCAATATCCTGGTAAGTGTCATGGGTTTAGTAAATAGTACCGTCCTTAGAACATCTATGACATTCAGAGCGACGATATTGTCAGATTTTCTTCGTTGCTTGCTCCGTACCGAGTCTCGAACGTTGAGCCGATTATTTACGCGTTACTTTTGATCGATTCGATCGTTCCAAACAGAAAATCTGAATATCTCATTCTGTACAATTGTCAAGTGTCTGTGAACATTTTTCCCTGAATCTGAAGGTAAACGAGCACTGCCAGGTAGTCAATCGAGTCGTGCCTACATCGAAAAGAGCGAGTACGGCGTGAAATCATCCGCCATGTCTGACACGAGCGAAGCCCCATCCCTGGCGTCGCACGTGAGACGAGTTAGGGTGCCTAGTCAAGCTTCGGACGTGGATCAGTTCCTGGACGAGTTGTTCATGCCGGTTCTGGATGGGAATCTGGACGAACTGTCCGATGCTAGAAGTCTGGCAGCTAGCATCAAAGGCACGAGCGACGACAGGTCTCAGAGCGACGCTGTGATTCTCGAAACTCTGAGAAAGAACGACGTCGACGAGCGAGGTGGCAGAGGGAACCTCGAAACCGTCGACGACTTCATGGAAATGATGTTCGAGGGTTCTGAGAACGAAACGATCACAGCAAAGGAGTTGTTGGAGAGGATCAAGGGAGGGGGCAACATGGACATACCGAATCAGAACGCCAATTTTAATTTCGGTGCCATCACACCGGGAATGATGTCCCCGCCCATGATGATGCCAATGTTCAGTGCACCTCAACAGGTGCCACCCGCACAGAGTAGCAGCATGAACATGGGACCCGGATTCATGCCAATACCGATCTACAGCATGCAAGGTCTCAGTCTTCCACAGTATCCCAATTCACCACCGAGCCAAAACAACGACATGATGGCGTACCAGCAAAACCTGCAGAGAGCATTCCTGCAGAGCGCCATGGCGCAAAACATACAAATCCAGCAGCAACTGTTGGCACAGAATCAGGCTCTTCAGCAGCTGCTCGTGCAGAGTCCACAAAACTCAAACCAACAACCGGTGAGAAATTATTAATGTTAATCGGTTATCGTGAATAATTACATTGATACGTTGGGACATGAAAAGGTCTCCCCGATCATCTTTCGAGACGATAGACGTTTTCCCTGTGTCCCGTATAGCGCAAACATTAATCAAAGATCCGACCAGATGAGACGAGGCTCTGGGAATTTTCTCGTTAAAATTACTTGTTCGTCGTTATCGTCTCGGAAGATAATCGCAGAACATGCTCGAACACATCTCTCACACAAATACCAATACACTCTGTAAAAACAAACACAGTTTAATTCTTGATTGAATTCTTTTCTCCGACACTGCGTTACCTTGCCGCACAGTAACACTTTTGATGTCGTAACGTCCATAAACAGAGAATTGCATGTTAAATGTCATCACAGTGAATGGGATAGCCGTCATTCGGCGTGTCACTTTCACGATTCACGATCACATAACTGGTACTAACACGATCACTCTTGCACAACACTGCACGAGAGCAGCTTCAGTGATTGCGATCACTCTCGATGGAGGGATCGTGTCCCTCTGGACAATCCTGTGGGCTTTTGAGCCGCATCGCGGCATGGGTGTGTGTTTCCAGGGCACGGTGTTGTCCGCAGGCCCCTCCAGTATGAATCTTGTCCCCCCAGCCCCCCAAAACGGTGCCCAAATGGGGCCCAATGATTCCATTGGACGCTACTCCAAGGTATCTACCGATTTCATCTAACAAATAGAACTGCCGATCGAGTCACATCTACGTATTTGAACGTAACGATAATCCGTTTTATGTTAAATAAACGTGTACAAATATTGTAACATATTTTGATAGTATTAACTGGTTGTGGGAACGATTTCGATGAACGGATTCAGTGGATTCGTACAGTGAAGCGAGGGAATGTAGGTTCAAAGAAACTGTTGCTCAAGCATCCTGGCAATAATTCATAGCGAAGGACAGTAATTATATTCTACGATTCTCGGAGTGTCCGATGATTCACGCAGTTTGAAAAGATTAGCCTCTGATTGTTTATTACTCGTAATGAAAAATTGTGTCACGTTCGTTCGAAGAACGTAAACATAACAAACGTAAACTCGAAGTAACGTCTGAAATTATTTTATATTTTTCCAAGCATAAATTATTAACAATTTTCGCAAGCCTACACTTCTTCACGTCACTGTGCATAACAGGAAAAGTAAAGTCACTCGTAGCATGTTTACAATTTACTCTGTTGTAAAATATTTTACGAATCATCCTGAACTTAATTGGAGATGCCTTCAGTGAGTTTTAACATTATTTCACTTCGCGTATCGATGACAGGCAACCTCTGAGAAATAAACTGTGGCATTGTCAGGTATCGTTCAGAGAGCCAGAGGACGGTGAACTATGGTCCACGGAGAAGCAAGTTACGCAAGTTAAATCGGTACCGAACAGTCAGCGTCAAGAGGTGACGGTCAAAGCTCAGATCCATCGATCTCAGAGCCCACCCAGGAAGAATTCTGAAATCGTCAGAAAGACTAGCGTCGAGTATGCGGTGAGAAAGATCAGCGTCGATAGAAAAGTGGGCGATAAAAAGTTGTCGGGCCCAACGGACGCTAAAAGGGTAAACTCGAACAAGAACAACGTGCAGAGCAACTTCACGAACGTGCTGAGCGAGCTGAAAAATCGTAAGAGCAGCGTGGATAGCAATTTATCGAATTCGAGCAACAACAAGGGAGTGCCACCCCCGCCACCGATGCCACCACCTTTGGAGTCCCATGATCCTTCGGAATCGAGACCGTTCCTTGATCCTTACGGGAGGGCGAAAACGGTTCGAATTGGCAAATGGAGGCAAGTAATAATTATTAGTTATGCAACGGGAAATGTATTTAATTTCTGAGTTTATGTAACTCGGTGTAATTATGTATTTCATACTCTGCGATGCAATGCTCGTAATACTAAAGAACTGATTTTACTTTGTGGAGATGCTAAACTGAATCCTTTAAAATTTTAAGAAGGTTCTTACCATATTGTTTTCAATTATTCTACGATAGTAGTTGTAAAGATGTACTTGAAAAATCGTCTTCAGATGGCCTCCACCGAGCGACTCGAACGAAAATCAGAGCCAAGACAGTTTCATAGAGTTCAAAATGCGCCAGCAACACCAGCAACGTAAGATCACGCCACAATATCAGGAATACAATCAAGGTGACGGGGAACCTAGTACAGAAGGAGCAGTGGAATGGGAAGAATTTGAGATTGAAAATATTGTAGGGAACGAGGAGAGGGCGATTATGACGACATCGGCTTCCGCGTCTAAACACGAAAATGGATACAAAGAGGAAGGGGAGAAGAAAAAGAAGAAATCCAAGTACGACAATTTGTTTGTTTGTAGAGAATTCAGTGATCATCACTGTCGCAATGTTTTGTTGCTATCTGATTATGGTTTCTTCAGGTCTGCGTTGGAGGTAGGCGCTCAAAGGCCATCTCCGGGTAGCATTGGAAAATTGAAACTCAGCTCGGAGATGCGTCAGAGATTAGAGAAGGTGACAGCGAATCACAGTGTAAGATCTACGAAAACGGCTGAGAAACCCGCTCTTCCGCGGGAAGATGGTAAAGTGAAGCGTTTGGAAGACAATAGGAAGCTGCTTCTGGAGCAACAATTAGGTAACGTTGTTATCAAAGTTAGATATTCATAATTGTAGCAATTTAAATACTAGAAACGTGGTAACATTTGGTAATGTTTTAAAGGAGGACGGTGGGACGATTATGCTTCTACGGCTGATGACACACAAAGCGTCACTTCGAAAGGCACCACCGATATGATGACTCAAGCTCAAGTAGTCAGAACGCAAATTGAAAGGATGGAGAGGCCCGTGCCTCCTCCGCTTCCGGTGACACCTCCACAACCCCCTAGTCCAAGAGGTGGAAGCATGTACAGCAATAGGTATTCTTTCCCATTCTTTGGAACCACTATTTTGCATTTCGTTCTACCTTCGTCTGTACGGAATTAAAACCTATCTGTTTAAGATAGCTATTAACACTAAATCTATCAACGCGTAGTTAGTTCCAGAGAAAACCATTATTTACGACAGAATGCTTACGAAAATGAATTAATTTTCATTTTAAATACATAATATATAATCCATTTTTATCGTATAGTGGTCGATAGGAATTGCTGAAACTTCTTTGGGTGCATAGTGCCAAAGTAAATGTGAAATTAAACATAGAAGACAGCATAAATTAGAATAGTTTTTACATTCATCAGATAGGGGATGAATAGCCCTTTAAAATGAGCGTTTGTACAAGTCGATAGCTTGATTAGTTCCCGAGATATAGCGATTTTAATTTCAAGTCGATGCGGTTGCTAGTTTCGGAGATATAAGGGTCCGAAGCGTTTGTTTACTACGGCCTTGTCAAGGCCGTTGGCCGCACGTGACCGTAGTAAATAGTAAACGTGACGTCACTCATTCACGGGGTCACTCGGTCAACGTGCGACAAGGAGGTCCGACGCGACGCGTTAGACGAAGACAGCGATAGTCAAATTAAGAAAAATTACCTTTTACATAAATTGCGATATCTCCAAAACGGAAAGTCGTATCGACAAAAACGAAAAGCCATTTTAAAGGGGAGGCTTTGCCGCTGCCAACAGTGTTTTAATTATTGATAAAACACTAGTCATTTCGGAACTGCACGAGTGTAAAGTTTAACTATTTTTAATACCCATTAATGGGCTTTCAGAAAACGGAGACCGGGATTTTAAAAATTACCACTTCATATAAATTACGATATCTCGAAAACGGAAAGTCCGATCGACAAAATTCAAAAAGCATTTTAAAGGGGAGGCTTCACCGCTTCTAACCATGGATCAATTATTGAGAAAACACTAGTCATTTCGGAACTGCACGAGTGTAAAGTTTAACTATTTTTAATACCCATTAATGGGCTTTCAGAAAACGGAGACCGGGATTTTAAAAATTACCACTTCATATAAATTACGATATCTCGAAAACGGAAAGTCCGATCGACAAAATTCAAAAAGCATTTTAAAGGGGAGGCTTCACCGCTTCTAACCATGGATCAATTATTGATAAAACACTAGTCATTTCGGAACTGCACGAGTGTAAAGTTTAACTATTTTTAATACCCATTAATGGGCTTTCAGAAAACGGAGACCGGGATTTTAAAAATTACCACTTCATATAAATTACGATATCTCGAAAACGGAAAGTCCGATCGACAAAATTCAAAAAGCATTTTAAAGGGGAGGCTTCACCGCTTCTAACCATGGATCAATTATTGATAAAACACTAGTAGTTTCGGAACTGCACACATGCAAACTTTGATTTTTCTTTTTTAAGGAAACAATTTACTTCCAAAGTGTCTTATTTTACACACTGTCCTAAAAATTTACGTTCTATCTACTGCACCAGTTTTTCATGCATAAAATAGCATATAATATAAAATAAATATAACAAAAATTTCAGTCAATCGGGTGTGCCCCAACCGAGGTCGCCGCCAGCTCCAGTCGAACCAAAAACACGGGATTCGTTCAGAACGTCTCCGGATTCAGAAGCCTTCGACCACTTCTCCAAAAGTCAGCGCGACATGTTCAGTCACAGTCGAGACATATTCGCGTCCCAGCAGCACCTGCGAGAGAATCACGAGTACAGGAACGATTTCGACAAGTCTCGCTCGCAGGAGCAGAAATCCAAAGACTTCTATGGAAAAGACAGCACGGACCTGGCCAGTTCCGCCAGAGATAGAAACTCGGACTTTGACTCTCGTCGTGATTTGAATTCCGACATCTTCGATCCGAAATACGCTAGGGAGATTTTCGAGAACTCGAGTTCGAAACGGGATCCATTCGGGATGACCAGAGACGTCTCTCCGAAGTCCAGAGATAGCTTTGGCATGCCATCGTCTCGAGACTTTGGCGTGATGCCGAACACGAGGGAGTCATTCGCGGCTGTTCGACAAAGTTTCAAGAAAATGGACCGCGAGGTTGACAGGAGATCGAGCGTCGCCTCGACCCATCGTACGGACAAGATGGAGAGGATCGAAATCGAAGAATGGCCCGAGTTCCTTAGACCGGTACTGCCGCCAGCAGAGAAGCCAGAGATCGAAAAGGTCCAGGAGGTGATGAACACGAAACTCTATCCCCAGACTTCCACGGCTCATTTCACGTACAACAGAGTAACGTGGACGCTGAGGGTGAAGAAGGAAGTGTTTGCCCCGAACGAAACGCTGAACAGTCCACTGGCGCTACATTTGGTGTTCTGTCAGGTTGCTTACGACGTCCTCGCCACGTCCAGCATCAGAATCACCAAGGAGGACAGACAGAACATGCTGAAGATGCTGGACAACTACGGCATCACTCTGGACAACCTGCAGAGCACGCAGCACAAGATCACTATTAAGAAAAACGTCGTTGACATGGCCAAACAATGGCCTCTATATTTTGCCAGGATATTCCCAGTGTCGGTGAGTGCGTTTCACAGTCTGCTAATAATTAAGGCGAATTAAGTTCGACGCGTTAGTAGCTTGCTTTTTAAGCAGGCTGCAGCTAATTGCGTGTGTTGTTTATACATGGTTAATCATACGTGACATTTTAAAAAGGAAAGCCGCGAGAAGATGAGACGGTTAAATTAGAATCGCGCACGCAAACTTCGAGGATACGAAAGATTTATTGATTTAGTTTTCGGTTAATTAACAGACGGAATTTTGTATGGAGTTAAATAGCAACGCATAACATTTTTATTGGACGTAAAGTATTTTACCACTTTGCAATTTAATTATCATATTATTGGTCGATGCTTCTTCTGTTCTGTGTTCGTAGCAGTTACTAGAATTTTATTATAATATTTTCGTGAGTTTGCTGATTTCGGTGGTATCGAATCAATTTTTCGTAACAGATCGGGCCTCAACATCCGGAAACCCAACACGTGGCAGTTTCTCATCACGGTCTTCGATTAATCAAACGCACTCCAAACGGTGACCTGGTTATACTGGAGACTTTACCTCTGGAGGATATCGTGTCTGTGAGTTCTCCCCGTGTCGGTGTGTGCGTGATGCAAATTGCGTCTGGAGTCAGGCTACCCTTGCACACTAATCGAGCGCCACAGTTAACAGAAATGATCAACACCTACATCAGACTGGTGAGTAAAAACTATTTGAATCCATCAGCTAAAACGAGTTCGATTAATGAGACTTCACTGTTCGACCGAGAAGATGAGATCGAGTCGGCCATACTTTCACATTCTATTTTAGAGTTTTCTATTCTTAACATTTTAGTTCAATACTGATCCAGTTACAGCCATATAAATATTTGGCTAGAGAAAGTATTTATTTCGCATTTCCAAAAGTATAACTCACGAAAGATAATCTTGTGAAAGTTTCCTTTGTTCAATTTTTCGAACCTTTTCTTCTGATCATATCGCTATAATTCCTAGAAATATTCTGACCAGAAGTATAATTAATAGCCAGAAGAAATTTGGTTGCTCATTTTTATCAGCGTGAATCTAAGTTGTAATTACTTCTTGGGAAATAGGTCGCGTTGTAGAAAGTATATAAAATGAATTGGGCATATTTTGTATTTCTATGACGAACCGTGATTGACCAACTTCTGCCTGTCATTTTCTTCAGCAATCTCTTCGGTGATGTTGATAGATTGCTCTGTAACCGTTAGCTTCGTCGAATTATACAATTCAAATCGAGTGTAGAGCGAAGTAGAAATATTTCCTAATAATTTTTCCCAATATCAAACGTGCAAATTAATTGCAATTTAATTCTTAGCCTGGAAATTTGAAACATTAATAATGTCTTCTGTATTTGGTTATGAGAGCAATTAGCAAGAGACTTATTCACGTCGACGTTTCGGTTTGTGGTGAAAGCTCTCTTCTTTTATAATACGTAGATAAATTAAAATTATTTTAATACTGACTGCAATATTTGCTTTTTTCTTTCGTGCAAAAATAATTTTAATTATCCATATTGCCATATTTTAATAGAAACGTCGTTAGGATTGATAATTACGGTTTACACACAAAATCATGAAACATCGAAGCCGCATAAATCTATGCTGCGTATAATAGTTTCCTTAATCACCGACGCACTGTATCTCCACAAGGAGCTACATTATCACGGGTCTATACACATCTATTACTGAATTAATTAGGAACATAATGCAAATTTTCCGTTCTTACCCTCGTACCAGCTACTAAAACTAATATTCACGTTCGAAGCTTAACATCAAGTCGAAGATACAGTAATTATCAAGGACTTGATCAACAGCTCGAAACATTCCAAATCCAATTATCCTAGGCATCTTCATTAAGCCATTCCCATGAAATTAATGAATCTGGTGCACGAGTCTGTTCTCGACAAGGCTCGTCATTCGTTTCATTCGTACACGGGGCACGGTTTCCACCTTGGTAACGTCGAACGAAACCGATCGAACTGCTCGAATTAATCACCGTGGCTCGCTGGTAACCCATTACTCATCGGTCGTTTCGTTGCCACGAGATGGACCAACGTGATGTTCGCGGCAAGGTGTTTGCTCTATCGATCGTTCGTTTCAATTTCTCACGGGAAACTGGTCGCGCGGTGCTAATACGCCAGGCCCCGTAGCAGTAAACTTGCCAGGATCCTCGAAGGTCGGCAGCTACGTTGGATCTTGCGCAATTAATCGCGTACAGCCAGCCGACGTAACGCGATCGCACGTGTGGAAATCGGTACACGGCTGTAATAAGCTACCCGAGAAGGATAACGACGAGGAGGGGCATCGTTCGAGGCGCGCGTCCACCACCGACCACAGACAACGCGTTCCACCGCGATAATGCGTGGGTAGCGGAAAGCAAACCCACGATTTCCTCGAGGAAGGACGATCCCAAGTAACGATGTCCCCGGGGAATCGTCTGCGCGTGTCGTCCAGAGAAACGGAATCCGTGACCTCGCTGATGACTCCGTTAGAGCACGTTTTATACGACCCAATATCGTGGAACGTTGATCAAACATTACCGGATCGATTGCCTCGTTTCCGTAAAGTTTTGAGGATTTATACAAAAAATAAGGAAATAGGAATGAAATTTAAAAAAATAAAATTTAGTGAACATTTAAGAAAGTAACTAATGAGACCAACGTGAAAAATTGCGTAATTGAGACAAGTCTTGACCAGTTAATTAGAGCAATGATTCAAATATATGAGTGATCGGTTTTGTGTATCCGCTGATTGCTTTTCTCTGCATCTGCAGCCCGTAGCATTTCGTGTTCGATGGAGTACTCGTTACGCGCGTTTAACAAGCATAATTGTATTTGAGAAGCGATAAAGTTAAGCGGTGTATGTCCATAAAAGTAGATTAAGAAATCGACATGTCGTTCCCGATTCCGCGGAAAAGGTTGTTCGTGCAAGTATGTTATTAGTCAATGACCAAACACGATATGGGTGAAAGAGGAACGCGAGGGTTAACGAGATCCAAATGGGTTCTGGAGCGTCTTACATCGTGAAATCAATCAGAAGGGAAATTTCATTGAATATCCGGCATCCATATTTATTCTAAATATTTAAATCGTTGAACTACAACTTTCACGCTCCCAACTTTCAGTTCTTCAAACTATTGCAAATCATTACTTTGAAAGATTTATTTGCTTGTCAGGAAAGATTGTTTATAAAAGTTAATTATAACAAAAATTAATTCGAGAAAGGTCTAACTCTACCATCTAATCGACTCCCCATAAAACAATTTCTCGTAAAAGATGCAGATCTATTTTATCCTTTTCGCCGATCACGTTCGAATTAGTCTCAAAAACCATGAAATAAAAGACACGATAATTCAGTACAGGTGTCTTTCAACGAGAAACCCGTAATTCTAATGATTTTACTTCACGAGTTTGTCGTATTAAGACACGAAATATTTTTTCCCCCGTTAATTCAATATTGAACGTCGGTTCTCATTGTGAAACGTACGACGTAGTTCCTAAATAAGAGTTATCAACGTTATAAAGAAACGGTTCGCGATAAGAGCGCTGGCGATTGCCGAACGAAACTGTACGCAACAATGGCTTGCAGTCTTGTCAGCTGTGGCGTGAATGGAATACCGATTGATTGTCATAAAAGAAGACAAGTAGATTTATCGACGAATATACAAAGAGACGCGATTTCGTTGCCCGATCGAACCGTTATTTCGAAATCCTCGGAAAAATGATTTGCACCGAAGAACGAATTCCCTTTGAAATTAACTTTAAATTAAATTGGTGAATCAGATGTGAAACAAAAGACACAATATTTGAATATTTCAAAATTATATGTGATACGTGTGGATACCTATTTTTCTAACCGAGCAGTAAATCTGCATATTTATTCGCACCTGTCATTTTTCGCCCTTAATCTTCAGGTATCACGACGTTGATCTCCGAAGAAATATGACTCTAAAGGAAAACCCAGATCCTTTCTTAACCGATGATACGGGCTTGCCATTGAATAGTAGCATACGTGCCACGATATTCGTGTGACACTTGAACCTCTACATTGAGTTCCATGACGTTCGATGAGAACGTGGGACCAGTCAATCGATCAGCCCTATCATTTTACTTCTGCAATCAATGGCGTAGCGAAGCTTCGACAGGCAAGGGAATGTCTCTCAAATCAAAAGGGAATGGCATAAATAATTATTATACGATAACAAAATGTTTAATCCTCGCGAGATTCAAATTCCTTGCATTCGTTATCACTAGACATATTTTTCTTAATAGAATTAATGAAATAGGAGATTTGCAAAGGATCGTCTCAATCTCTACATATAATAATTCCTATTTCTTATATTTTTGTACATTAAGTGCATTCTATAGTCCATCGAAAATTAAAATTTCCCATAAATGGGAGATCTAGTCTAGTTCATCACCGAGGAAGAGATACATTTGGAGATAAGAAGATGCCAACGAGATCTCAGGAATTTGGTTTTAATATCCACGAAGGCTACGTGCTATATTTAGAAAATGGAGATCATTATCGACTCATTCTTTATCAGGGCCGATCGAAAACTGTCTACGCTGATGATAGGTCGTTGATACGTTCCCCGGCGTGGGGAAGAAAAAGAGGAAGAAGGAGGCATTGGCCAGCATATATGACCACTCACTGGAAACGCAATTTACACTAGGCGTTGCCCGAGGTTGCCTCGTTGCGTTACACTGTATCCTGGCCGATCGTCGCTAATTGGTGTCGGTCGATCGCTTGCGGTTCACTCGCCTGGCCGGAACAATTTCAAGATCGGAGAAATACGAAAAGTCCGGTTCCATTCCTGTTCAGCCGCGAAGGAAACGTACCTGCGCGTGCCACGGGGAATTCCTCGCGACATATTTATCAACGCTTAACTTTTTCTACTTTGACATACGGCGTGCAAGAAGCACACGATATTAAATAACGTTCGTTCATTTGTCTCACGGCGCTACACGGTACACGTTAAATCATTTTTAGAGCGAGTATTGATAGGAAGTCACGCGAGAAACTTCCTTTTTAAATTAAGAATTTTTTAAAAATCAGATTTCATGAGAACTAGTTCACAGGAGAGTTTTTAGAGACACACGGCTAATCAGAGTTAAAGTTGTACAGCCCCGACACGCGACGGTTCCATCTGCATAAGCAATTGTGCGTACCCCAAGAAAATTTGCTATTAAATTTCCGTAATTAGTGTAATCACGTTCTTCGCTAAATGAAAATAGGGATAGCAATAAATAACGTTAGTTACGTGTATGCTGCGTCTCTGGAACTGACTCATTCATGCGTTATTAGCGAACAGTTAGAATTATCGTGATAATATCGGTTATGTAATAAACACGCGAAAAAGAAGGTAAATAATTATAGCGACGAGCAAACATTTTTTTGGGCAATTATTTGTTCAACGCTCCGTTGGAAATGAAAAGTTTCAGAGGCTGGTATGCGACGCGATTCGTTGTGCAATTAAGTCGACGATGATTCCATGTTCAGAAATAAATCATAACGGCGTAATACCGACAGACGCACGATAAATGCCTTTCTTTGTTTCTCATCCGATTGTTAATGTTGAGTGGCCAGTCTTCTCTTCGTCATGAATTGCTAAGTTTCCTCGACTGATAATATCACTCGGTTGCTCTCCCGGAGTATTATTCATCGCCATACACTTTA